ATTGGAAACTAAACTGGGTTTTAAAAATGCAGTATGAAATGGGTAGACAGAAATCAACAGCAAATAAAATAAAATTTTCAATATCTTACAACACAAACGCTTAAGCTACTCAAAAAAAAAAAGTGTCTGTATTATAAGGCAGTTATTTTCATAATACAAGATCATTAAACAGAGCTTAGTTAATGTAATGGCTGTTTTAGTCTTCCCTTTAGTTGGCCTCTGTGTTTATCCAAGTTGCCTTTTTTTCAGAACAAAACAGAAACAGGATCGAATGCTCAATCACTTCTTGTGTCTGAAAGTTTCGTTTGAGTTTTTTTATTATTAACTGCAGAAGTGCTTCAAGTGTATTTTTTTTTATATATGTGAAACCACATGAACACTGATGTATTGTCCATTCAACACTGACGATTATCCTGTGTAGCCTTAGAGGATTGTTGTGGGAGTCTGGTTAGGTCTCTGAAACGTGTACATACCTGTTGATGCATTGTATATGGTGAACCCCCCCTCCTCCGATGCCCATACTGTGAGCATTAAATAGACTCACACACAGCAGAGCAGCGATAGCAGCATCAACTGCTGAACCGTTACGCTTCAGCATGTCCCTGCAAACACAAAGAGCATTATTCAGATCAACAACAATGACTACAATGACTCTAGCAATAGTCTCATTGCTCATGAAAGGAATCTCTACCAGAATCATAAATATGGCTCTTTGGAATCGTACCTCCCGATTGTAGAGCAAACCCCATCATCTGCTGCCACTGCTGCTTTATCATAGCAATGATCAGAAGGCTTTACATTCAGTGGTGTATCAGTGGATCTCACATTGGGTGTATCAGTAGCTGTTTTAGTAGATCTTCGAGTGAGTGTCACTGTCAGAGCTGTTGCAATCACAAAGGCAATGAACAGATATCTGAAAGCAGAACAGAATTATGTGTTATTTTATCATTATTATTATTATTATTATAATTTTTAAAATATATTATCAACTGGCATACTTGACAAAATCATGTCATGTCAGTTATTCTTTCAGTTGACCCTTTTATCGTGAAATATGGAATTTGCTACATCCTGAACAACTACAGCTCTGAGATCAGCTAGATTTTATTTTAAATTATCAAGTGTGTGTGTGTGTGTGTGCGTGCATGCGTGTGCTTCATCACCTTTTCGGCTTGCTTCTGTGTAGTTCATCAAATAATTTGCAGATGAGACAACACAGGATTAAATAGCAGCTGTCCAACAGTATGAAGAACCTATACATATATATAAAAAAACTTACAATTAGATTAGACTACAGTGTACAGGTGTCCTGGTTGCAGCAGATGCAGACACAGTGATACAGATTGACAGATGGATGGGTGGATGGATACCTCATGACATATGACAAAGGACCCAATGTTTCTTGATCCATGGTGTGCTGAAACAGACATTTTATTTGTGTACATATGGATGTCTTAAGACAAGAGGGAAGTGGTTTTGTATAAATCTGTGAAAATGATCATTTAAAAGTTGTTTAAAATCAGTTTATCTAAACCTAACCTTACATATCTACTGGCCAGACAGGCAAGGTCTTAAACGTTTGTTAGATTAATTTTTTTTTAACAAATCAAGCGCTTGAGCATTGCCAAAGAAGATCAGCTGCAGCTCAGCTGAAGTTGCCTGCTTTTACAACATTCAAAAGCTTGTTGTACAAATTTTAAAAAATTCCACCTTACCTTCGTAAAGATATTCCAAATAAACCTTATAATTTCTAAGTTTGTCAAGTTTAAAGTACTTCATATAAAAGCAAATACAACTTATCTGTGTCCATTTAAAAACATTACTCAAAAAGTTAAATTAAATGATCATGAACTTTTAGTATGAAAAATGTTCACCTTACTTACATAAAATTGTTTCAACTAAACTTTACAAGTTCTAATTACTAAAACTGTCAAGTTGCAAATACTTGATATTCTAAGTAAATACAACTTGTCAGTGCAAAAAGATAACTCGAAAAGTTGTGTTTTGTAAGAGACACCGTTAAGTGTACAAAGAAATGAGGAATAACTGGATCCAATTGCAGTGTGTTTATGAAACGAAAATAAAAGCAAAAATAAACAAGGAATACACCAAGAAATCGAGAAACACAAGAGACTAAACTGAGTACATCAACAAAACAACAATCACTAGACAAAACCTGACAATGAACACAGGAAACACAAGGGCATAAATACATTGAGGTTAACAAGACTAACAAGACAGCTGGAAACAATCAAACTAAAACACAGTGGGAAACAGGAACCAAACTGAACTACAAACTAAATGTCCACATAAAAAAGACTCATGTGACAGACACTGTCTGATGTGGTCAATGTGTGTGTTAGGTCTTTTTCATAATAGGTTTCACTTCCAGTATACATTTTAAAAACCTTCCAGAAACATTACCCACCTTCCTCACTGCTTTTCCACTTCCCAATATTTGCCCTTATTTTTTTTATTATATTATTGAACTGCTATAATCATCAATGTGAAATTAAAAACCCATAAATTAGAATCTGAATGAGATCGTTCAATTAGGTCTCCACATGATGATTACATCATCATCATCATCATCAATAATACATAACAACCATCACATGACTATATTTGAGGCCTGAGCACCAGAGTTGCGAGGACCCTCTTGAAATATCTCTCTTTCTTCTTCTTCTCCGAAATAATCACATTTTTGAAGGCCTAAGCATGCTTGAGAACTCATAAATCTTTGCACACGCATCAGAACTGGTGAAAATTTACATCTGATATGGTTTTGAGAATTAGGTGTGGCAAAATGGCTCGATTGCACCACCTACTAAATGTGAACGAAGCGCGCCTCCCGCTACGTTTTTATTCAGATTTTAATAATTTTATATATTGGGCATGTAATCAAGACCAGACCTCCAAGACCAAAACCAAGACCAGGACCAAGATCCACAATGAGTGAAATAGATAACAAACTATACACACAGGGACAAGGGAGTTGCAATTGTAATAAACCAAAATCAATAATGATAACACTGCATAACACAAGGAATTATTTGTTGCTACTCCTCTAACGACACTTACCTCTTGCGGTGAAATGGCACATTCCCCAACACAGGATGCAGCATATGTACTGTATATTACCATCATCTGCCTTGAAAATAAATCAAAATGAAAGAATATTAAAATCTGTGTTCATTTTTATAACTGACTTTGCAAGAATTTGCATTTTTATATTAAATGTTTTTTAAGCATTAAATGTGTTTACAAAATCAAAATATGTATTTTGCTAATAAAGACACTACATGTAATTGTATTTGGTTAAGTGGTTATGTTAACATCACCTCTGCCTCATTTTCAATGTGAGAATATAAAGCAATACAGGCATGATAAAAAAATATCCTTCAGTGGTTTCAGCATATAAGAAATGTAATAACCTTAATACAATATAAATACCATTGTGTCAAATAGTTTATGTATTCAAGACAGTAACAGAGTGGTATCGTGGTTGGCTAGATACCAAAACTATAATAAATAGTGTCTAAACAAAAAACAGAAGCGATTTGTAAATCAGTATAATTTTAATTATTGTGTAATTGAATTTAATTGATTTGTCCCAATTCAAAAGCTGCATCCTTCAAAGGCCACATATGAAGGGCAGTTGCATCACCACGGTGTCACGAAGGCTCCTTCAAATGCGACCTTGAAATGCACCCTTCGTACCCTCAGTAAAAAAACAGAAGTAATTGCATGACAACAGGATTTTTATTTATTTATTTATTTTGGAGAGAGAAATTGCCGGGTTACACTTTTAAATGTAAAGTACTGGCTTTGAAATATGCATGTGAATTTGTCAATTTATTAATGTTAAAATCACTTTTTAAGGTGTTTGAACATAGTTGTGTGGCTGCAGTGGGTGAAAATAAGATCAGAATGAAACAATTTTTGCTGTATAATATTATATTTTAATATTGTTACTATTTAAAATGTCTACTTAATACATAGTGCAGCTGCATCTATAATCTCATCTTTTGCCACAATAACACAAGTAAATTTGATTAATAATAATACTACTACTAATAATAATTACTATTACAATTCACGAAACTATTCACTTACACCTGTACCTGTTTAATGACCACATCCATACATTTATAGCACGTGTTAGTTTATGTTTTTTACCCTTTTCTTCTGTATGTGTGTATAGATCTGTCACTGCTCTCAGCTGTTGTGTACAGATGCATCTCAATAAATTAGAATGTCGTGGAAAAGTT